TTCTAGTCTTCAAAGAGCTCAATTAGAACTTTAGTAGGCGTGTAACAGGGAACCCCTGCTGACAGGAAAGCTGTTCTCTGGGGCTTAAAAAGCTCCATTGAACTGAACGGTACACATGGCAGAAGAAACTGTTTACATTTTCTCATGTGGCAAATGGGAGACTGATTACTACTTGAAATCAGGAGATGGCACGGTTGCAGCTCATGTTAGTGTCTATTTGGAGAATTGTATGGATGAAAAATTGGAGGGAAAGAGAAACTTGGCTCCTGGCTTAAATTTGAATAGCCAAATGGAGTAGACTTTGGCGAGAATGGAAAAATGTCAGCAATCCAAATTAACAAGGTTGTTCATTGAGTCAGTTTCATTCACACTATGAATATGGAGAACTGAGTTACTTCCAATCGCTAAATGGTCCATATTAGGGATGTGACAGAATACAAATACATTATTCTGAATGGACAGATAATGTGTTCGAAACAGATACAGATATGAAACCTTGCCAGAGAGGTTCACAGGGCATCTGGTTCAGACTAGCCATGTGCATCAGGATTGGGATCCTGTAGGATGCAACAGCAAAGTTGCCTGAAGGTAACTACCTCACTGTAGTCCTGTGCTTATTACACTTCATCAAGTCTCCTGCTCTTCTTAGGTGATTCTCCAGATAGTGAAGCCTTTGTCTGAATGCTGGAGGTCACAAACTGACATTGACTGGCCTGTTCCACATCGTACCCAGCTTCACTTCTGATTATGTACTCCTCACAAGCTCTGCCTACTCGAATACACTGGCCCCACAGATACAAAGCAACCACTACGCAGCCTATCTGTTTCACTGATTGTGTTAGAGAGGCTAATTCTGTTCGCACTATGTGTCCTGCTACTGCTGAATAGCAGGATCAATATGGTGTTCATTAACTGGTGTTCTTTCTCGTCTTCTCCTTCTTATTTGACCAGTGAATGAGGCAGTGGGAGGAGGGCTGGGGAGCTCACTGATGCGCCTCTCGTCTCACTGCGCATGTCAGACAAGCGAGGGCAAAGAATATTCGGAGCTATCTTTAGAAGATGATGTAAAATGAATCATTCCCAGCATCACCCCTGATCACTACCCAAGATGCACTCTAACCGCAGAAAGAAGATGCTCTTTTTCCCCTCTGAAAATCACATGCTGATATGTGATTGTGATGTGCCTCCTTTTCTTGTTTCCCTCCTTTCTCTTTCGCCCTCTTCTTTCTTTCTGTTTCACCCGGGCTCTCTCTTTCCCCCCTCATCACTCCCAGTATAGCACAGCCAGATGCATAATTTATTTCAGCTGTAGAGCGGGTGAACATTAGGTGGATGGTGAGCTTCTCTGCTTCATGGACAGACAGAAGTGGTGAGAAAGCAAGACAGAAGAAAAGAAAGGGAAGGAGGTGGCAGGGTCTGAGAGAGATAAGCGCTTTGTGCTGTGCATGCTAAGTTGCCTTTGTTTTAAAAGGCTGTCTCACTGCAGATGTGGGTGTTGTCACCAATACAGAGCAGATATAGCAGGGGCAAACAGTTATCCATAGAAGTGTTAATTTAATTCAGTTCACTCCCATTATATGAAAACCTCATTCATTTACTGTATATTGTCCTTTTTATAAACAGACACTGTCACAAAGTGGCTTCACAAAAATCTAATCCAGTCCAGGAATTAGCAAGACAAAGGTGACGATGGTCCTGTGGTCATCTGGGCACGTAATGTGATTTTGAGATTACGATTGTGCTGAATTATAATGGCTCTGAATGTTATGCTGAATGTTAGATCTAAGAAAATTGTGTCTCAATACGTGGCATAACATAAGTTTTAATAACTGCAGTAGTCTTGATTAAGTGAAAATCTCACGGGATGATTCACTAGAGAAGGAAGGTGAATTGGACATGTAAATGGCTCTTAGACTAAGAATTTATAGTAGCAGAACAAACCCTTAATGAGTGATTTGACCTAATGAACTTAACATTATTCAGGTCGTTTTTGGCTTTCATTCATTGGCAAGTTTACATAATGCTTTCAACTGCTAATGAAATTGGTGGCTGGCTTCATAAGGCACAGTATCATTAACGTTTTGGACAGTGATTGTGTTTTTGAAAGCGATATCTCATTCCAGTTTTTCTGCGAGCAGTGCAGTCAGTCAGACAAGTAGTAACCAATGAAATGTGTTTGCACATGGCTAATTATAGGTTGTTAGACCAGGGCTTATGAGATGCCTCAATTCTCCCCTTTCTTTCTTTCTAGCTGTCTGTCTGTCGAGGAAGTGCTTTGCTCTGGTATTTACTTTGGGTTTTTAATTCCAGATCGGGATTCTTGTAATCCCTAGCAAAACAAGCTTAGCTGCATGGTTCTGATTTCCTCAAAGTGGCACAACCAGCAGTTTCAGTGTTCGTTTTTTTTAGCGATGATATTTGGAGTGTGTCAGGGACATGGCTGGAGAATAATCCTGTAATGTGCTGTGTATGGATTAGCCACTTCAGCTGACGGGTTTGAGTGGCATAAGGAGTTCGATGTTTGACCTTGTGTCTAAGCTTATTAGGCAGTTAAAGCTCTATGATGACGGGCTTTTAATAAGATTGATTTAAAAATGATAAAGCTCTGTGCAGGAAACTGTCATGCCCAGGCAGTATCACTTTAAAGTAGATTTGGACAATATTATCATTTATTATTTGATTTATTATCGTGTATCATTTATATCTATATTTTTTTGATAATTAATCAGTGGCAGATTATTAGTTAAAAAAAAAAAAGGCTTTTGTCAGTCAGCAGATCTATCCATCCATTTCCTGCTTATCCTATACAGGGTCGCGGGGAGCCTATCCCAGGGGACTCGGGGCACAAGGTGGGGGACACCCTGGATGGTGCCGACCCATTGCAGGGCACAAACGCATTCACTCACTGCAGACAATTTAGAGATGCCAGTCAGCCCACAACGCATGTCTTTGAACTGGGGGAGGAAACCCCCGAAGCACAGGGAGAACATGCAAACTCTGCGCACACAGACTGGAGACGAGAATCGAGTCCACAGCCCTGGAGGTGCAAAGCAAATGTGCTAGCCATTAAACCACCATGGAGGTAGAAGCTACATTTGTGCAGTAGTACATTAGTGTAACATGGTGAGAGACAGGACACAGGTGTCTAAACATAGTTTGAGCTTTATTACGGAAAACACACAAATCATAACCATAGCAGGGGTCAAAACAAAGGCAAAGTTAAATAAAGATAATCCAGAAACATGGTAGAGGAACTAGGGTCAAAACCAGGAAATCTCTGAAATAGGAAACACTTTGATATACGGTAAAAAAAGGCTTCGGCTTAATGACAATAATGCATGATCTAATCAAGAAAAAGGTGAACAAAGTAAAGTAACAAACCAATAACAGGACAGGGGTGGAGACAGGACTTGAACAGAGACTAAAACACGAGCACATCATGTTCAGCACCATGGAAATGGTGACTCAAAGGGGGGATCTTGAAAGATAAAAGTAGGCTTGTAACATTTTGGCTGATGATTGATTGTCAAGCAGTTGCCGTTAACAGTGTAATTAACAGTGTTTTATATCAACAACCATAACAGGAAGGAGAAGTATCCTGTGTTTGCTGATATGTTCTGCTTGACTGACAACACACACAGACAGGTGATAAATGAAAGCGGAAAAACAATGGCTGGTATGCAGTGGGCGTTTTGCTGAGTCTATTTGTCTCCTTAATGGGAAGCATCACTCCAAATCAAAAGAAAGTTATTCTGACTGATCACCTTCATTCTGTGATGAAACGTTTCTGTCCTGATGGGAGCGGTCTCTTCCAGGATGACCCCGCCCACATAAATATGCTTTGACATTCAGTCACCAGATTTGTCAAATTAAACACCTACGAGAGAGTCTCCACAATCGTCAAAACTCCAACTGATGGAATACCTTTCAATAATTGGTGTTCATCCCTCTAGTACTTTTCTATAAATCGGTGAACCTAAATGTTAGTTGCTACCAGCTAAAATAATTGACATGCATCTTTGATAGAAGGTTTTTCTAGTATACACTGAAATATCAAAAGGCTGTTTGTTTAACACGTTTGCAATGCACTGTAACATGACAGAAGCACATAAGCATGTGAAGAGAAACTAAAACAAATACCACAGTGTTAGTTATGAGTGCTTTTTATTTCATAGCCTTGGAATTTATAAAACTGCAATATTTGTACTCAGTGTTTAAAGCCAGGGGTTTTAGCTTTCACCTCAGACAGATTAAAGTTCTCTGTTACTGAAAGGAATTTGAATCTTATTGATTTTATAGAGGATATTTTTGAAATAGGAGTATATTTGCAGAAAGTTTCCCGGACGTGGCCATTTCTCGTCTTCGTTGGTATACTGTGTCTCCTCTACAGATCATTCAGAATGCTGATGCTTTCCTGATTTATAACCTCCTCTCATGAGACTCCCTTACAGAGGTCAGTCTGCTGGCTCCCTGTGGCAGCAAGAATCAAATTCACAACTCCTATCCTCATATTCCGGGCCTCAAATGGCTCTGCACCACACTATCGCTGTACCTTGGTTCAGGACTACACACATGCATGCTGGCTTAGGTCATTAACTTCAGGTTGAATGTCTTGGTCCTTCTCTGATGTCTAAACAGGCTCATAAGGCAAGATCTCAGTGCTTCAGTGTTCTGGCTGCTGAGAGATCTTTCCTTTCTACTTCAGACAGCCTTGTGTCTCAATTCCTTCTACTAAGTCCAAAAGACCAACATCTTCAGACACCATGAAGGGTAACACTTTATGGATTTGGATGGTTACACACTGAAAACCCTAACAAGTTTGCTGCACTCAACTGATCGAGTAAGCTCGTTCCCTCAGTTTAACTGAGTAATGTCATCTCCCAAAGCTTAAGTTCACTTAACTTGGAGCTCATGTAAACTGTACTTAAATTGTTAAGCTCACTTAACTGATGTTCATATAATGTACTTAAATAACTGAGTTCGTATAGCATACTGTACAGCTCACTGAGCGTGACTTGAACCCGGGTCGTGGTGGTAAGAGTGCCACATGCTAGCCACTAGTCCACCAGTCATTTCAGTTGTGCATCAATACAAGGTGTCCCAAAAGTCTCCATAGATAGCGGAAATTAATACTTTTTAGCAGCATGAACTCTTGAAATTAACTACACTGGTACCAGCAACAGATGAGACGAAGAGGACCGCCTTTTGCAATTATCTACCATTCAGTGCATTAGTTCTCTTGTTGCCAGAACTCTTTGCATGGACAATAACAGAAAAAAAAAAAAAAAACAGAGTGAGCTATTTTAATGAATCATGATTTCGAGTTCATAACAATTGAAATCTTAAGTTTTTGTATTTTGTAGGTAAATAAAAAAAATTAAACAAACTTAGATTGTGATTTATGGGTACAAAATGCAACATTTTAAGTAATGTTTAGTCCTGATTACTTGGTCGTTATATAAGTATAAGTGTCTGCCAAATAGGTAAATGTAACTCTAAATATTTATTAAGGGGCGTTGTGGACACCGTAAGTCTAAACAAAAATTATTTCAACTGAAAGTCTTTATTGATTCTTTATTCGTAGCGGAAGATTCGCTAATGCTCAACAAAGGGAGTGGCAAAGCAAGAAGAGATGTACACGCAGGCTCATCTAATGTTCAAATGTTTCTAACTTTTGCTTGATGCTCTATAAGTACATTTTTTTGAGAGAACAGAAAACATATCTATCTTGCCACTTCAGATCTGGTTTTCATATTTTGTATTAAATCAAATCTATTTTTAGATCCTCACATGTTTTCTTATCTCCTAGACTTTGGAACTTGGCAAAAAATGTTTGAAAGCAAATGATTTTTTTTTAGAAGTCTGCCTGAAAAGAAGAATAATACAATAAAAACTGTATTTTATATTGAGACTGTTTAAATGGGACTTGCAATTAAAGTTTCAGTCATGAGGGTGTTTTTTTTTCCCCCTTAATCCTTGACGTCTATGACAGTTCTATGGAAATAAAGGTCTTATTATAACTTTTCTCAATTGCAATTCATTAAAGTGCTTCCAGACCGCAGAATGTGGAAATGATACACAGATTCCTGTACTCTTTTTGTGTACCATAAAGAACATACCATGGCAGAGGATGAGAAAACTCAGAAAAAGCCCAGTTTTTAAAAAAAAACATAAAAACAAAACTCAATGAAGCCCATTTCCAAGGAACAAAATTACTTACACTGGTGCAAGGCTAGACATGATATAATGTGTTTGTATTTGTTCATAACAGTTAATGATACAGTTGTAAGATTGTAAGATTTTCAGCCCGATTTTGTTGTTGTGCACAAAAAAAATCACACGATGCACAAGAATTCTTTGGTCTTTAGAACACGTAATGTGACATGCTCACCGATGGCCAATTTAGTGCCATTGTGACCAAAGGTATTTGATGACAAAGGCATTGTCAGAAATGTTTTTTTACTAAAACACCACGATGCTAAAAGTCACCAGTAGGAGGACTGCACAGGATTATGAGAAAGTCATGGAACAGCTACAAACAAATAGAATTACAAATTAATCAGATAAATTAATATAACTTTACCAACCTGCCCCGGTCCCTGGTGCAGTTTGTTGCAAAGCTACCACATATGTTAATAGACAGAAAGAATATCCTTAGTATCTCAAACATCTGTCACTAATGGCTCCAGAGTCTTCCCCTTTTAAAATCTGTTTTCTCCACAGATAACATGCTGCTATTATAGAAGCGGGCTTGTTTCTGTTTCCGCAACCTTGTTTTCTGCACGTGCCCGGATCGTGCTGATTGATGATGTAAACAGAGCATATTAATTTTCTTTCTGTTGTTAGAGGATCTTCTTCTTATAATCTGACATGGAGAACATATTATATTGCACAGTCTGTTATAGAATTTGGCTGAAACACACAGTGTACAACAGGCTTTAATGGGCATGATGTGGTTTAGGACACAGCCTGAAGTTCTGACTGTGTATTACTTGGCACTCGCAGACGTGAGATTAATGCTCACGCCGTTTAATTAATCCGTTTACATGCTGGAGCTTCAAAAATAATTGAAGCTGTATTTGTTCATAGTGGTTGCTCTGATTCCTGGTAGTTGACGTACTACAGTGAATCCTATTAGGATGTATAAATGTATATACACTTAGCCCCAGAACCAAAACGTTAGGCTCCAAAATCCTTGGTGGTTAATTAATTAATTGGTTAATTAATTGAAAATATAAGAGAAATATGACATCTAATTGAAGTAAATTTATCTAAGAAAATAAAAAAAATACTCAATTTTTTTTTTTAACAAAGCCCCTTATGTTGTTAATATTGGCACCCCTGCATTTCCTACAGTGAGACTTGTGCTATAATATTGAGAGTATGAGAATACAGGGAAAGGAATCTGAAAACATCCAGGGTCCTTTCTTGTGGATTCTCCTCTTCAGTTCACCCTAAAGTTTTTCAGAGCAGAACTGTCATTATTGAGATGTTCTGTCTGGATTTGGACATACTATACTGTAATTTAGATCATTGTCCTGCTGGAAGATCCAAGCATGACCTAGTTGTAGTAGCAGAGGCAGCCAGATTCATGAAGTCCATGATGACTTGTATCCTAACCAGGTTTCCAGTATTTTTGGAGGTAAAAACAGCTGCACAACATCACAGTTCCTCAACCATACTTAACAGTGGGAATTAGGTTCTTTTCTGTGTAACCGTCCTTCTTTTTACTGCAAACCCACCTCGAGTGTTTGTTGCTCAGAAAGCTATAGTTTTGTCTCAACTGACCAGTCAGAGTTCCAGTAGCCATGGCTGTAATTTGCTATTAGGACACTGAGGTCTGGACATCCGTAGTTTCGGAAGGTTTTGGGGTTATTCGTAGCTTTTAGTTGTAAAATTCAGTGTGGAAACATATCAGCGTCCTGACAATATGATGGCAGAATGTAGTTTACTGTGCAGAAAACACGCATTCCAAGACCCATTCAGCAATGATGATTGTTTCTCAACTGACCTCAGAGCAGCTGAAGAGGACACTTTAGGTTTGCCCATAGCCTCAATCATCCACTTTGTTTAGCGCTCACAAGACACTGTTCTTTCAGACTTTAACTTCTTGTTGAAAAGATGCGCACATCTGACTTAGCTATGATCTAAATGTTTGTGTTTATGCGAAAACATATGATACAAATGTGTGTGTTTATGAGATGAACTGTAGCATTGCTAGCCAAATCAGCTTGATAAAATGCAGCAATGTTAGCTGATCACAGTAATGTTAGCTGATGTACCCCGTGTTACGGTAGCTTCAGGCTACATGGCATTTTTAATTTATGCTCTTTCTGTAAGCACTGAGGAGACGTGTGACTGTTACTGTATCTTTGCAGCAGGGCTAACAATGTGTCTGTGATACAAGTTGAGCAGCGGGAGGTTTTCTTCTCTCACCTGCTCTGCTTTTATTCTGCACATACACACAAAGCATCTTTTTCTGTTTGAGAGATGAGCTTGACAACTGCACACAAATTCTCCAGTTAAGCAGACAGAACTTGATGTACAGAAAGTGTGAGGTGAAAAAAGGGCGCATGTAGAACAAAAAAGGGATTTAAAACAGTTAAAAATAACTAAATGGCACAATGTATTAGTAACATACAGTAACACAGTGTACAATATTAGTTATATTTTCCAGTGTAAATAGTGTAATTATTAGTGTGATAATTGTAACAATTATCTCTAACATTAATAACATCTAAATATGATACATAACTAAAACAACATACTTTTGGGGGAATTCAGATATTTCAAAAAAAGGTCATTTTTTACCCTGTTACAGAAGCAAGAGAGAAAGGAAGGGTGAGTGAGAGAGAGAGATAGAGAGAGAACTATAAGAACTATAATATTTAACTCATTAACTTTAACCGGTCTTGAATCAGAGCAGTTTAAGGAAGTGTAACATAACAAAGATTAGAAATTAGCAATTGGTGTAATACACACTGGTCACATTTCTGTAGTGTCCACCTCACTAAACCTTTTATTCTGGATACGGCCCTGCCAGTAGCATCCAGTGAACTCTGGGTGCTTGTGATTCTGCTTAGGTGAAAAACAAGGCTTTCTTCTTGCTTGTCTTCCACTTACTGTAGTTTATGAAATAGAGGTGGTGTCTAATTGCACATTTGCAGTCCCCAAAATACTGCAGAAATGTTGCCTCTCTAACCATCCTCCTCACTTTCCAGGCAGGTTCATTGTGTTAAATCTCTTAATTATTGCCTTAGCATGTTATGGTATTTCAAACGTGTAGCTATTTTTATAGCGATTGCCTGGTTTACGAAGATCAACACTCTTTCGTCTCAGTTCATTCGTGTATTCTCTAGTCTTCCACATGTTAATGAATAACTAAGGGAATATGGCCTATGTGTCACCTCATATTTATATCCCAGTAAAACGGGAAGTCATGGATAATCGATTAAGAGTCAATACACAGTCTAGTGAACTTCAACTACTAAGAATTTCTTGGACTACCATCAGTTGTAATGTGTGGTTTTGTTTTTTTTTTTTTTTTTTAAATGTTTAATGTCTTTTATGTCATAGAAGAAACTTATTCTTTAATGTCTCATATACTTTTAGTGTAAGATTATGCTTCTCACCTTTTTTACTCATCATGAGTAATGACACCAATATTTCAAGAGCAGACTGTATAATGTAGAAACAGTAATACTGCTGGCTGGTGAATCTAATGTAAAGGATTATGGAAATGTTATTGTGCTTATTTACCATTTACCAGTAATAGACTGATCTATTAATGTTATATTTCATTTGTTCAATGATTGTTATTTTGATGAGAGGCTATGAGGCTAAAAAAAATAATGCCTTATTGCCTTGTTAATAAATTTAAATATATTAAGACTTTTGAGGAGTTGAAAAGTAAAAAAAAAAAAAAAGGGGACAGGAAAGGGAAAAAAAAAGAAAGGGTTGTATCCAAATCATGGAAAAGCAGCAAGGGAACAAAGACAGCCAGGAACATAAGTGTTCATGATAGCTGATCAATTCTGCTGATGAACATCAGTTTTTTGTTTTTTAATCTGGT